TTTAATAATAGTGGGAAGCGATTAGCCATCTGACATGAGCGCAGAAGCGAGGCCTATAGCACGAAGCTTGAGGCAACACTTAACAACTCATGTGCCCAACCATCAAGGAAACAACCAAGCCAAGGAACAACCAACAAAAGGTCTCTCCTTACACACACCTGGCACGGAGGAGCCAGGGTGGGAAAGAATAAACCCTGTGGAAACAACCTCGCAAGCGCAACCACGACGACCAAGCTACGATCTCCACCTGACTCGCCACAGGTACTCTTGGACCTGAGCGAGATAGGGAAGAACGACGTCCGACTCAGCCTTGCGACCCCAACCCCAACGCCGAAGGAGGTTACAGCGCGGAATCGGTGGCCGAGAGCTCATGAGCGGACTTGCTTGACACCCCCAGCAAATGTGATGCCAGGTGCCTAAAGCATCGCACCACATACAACGGTCACTGAAAACTTGCGTCGTCTGAAACCAAGCTGGACTGACCTCATCGATAAAATTTTGTAGGTGCCAATACCCCGAAACGGGCAAGGCACACTAGGAGCCAGCTCAACCAAACAAGAGAGACAACCAACCAAGCAAGCGACTAAACCAAGAGCCCAGGGAAGCCGCGATCAATTCACGTGGGATGAAAAAATGCTCAGAGCTTTTCTTGGACTGTGATCAACCAACGACGTAAGGCAACATAGTCAACCTGTTGGCCTTTGACCACCCAACCCCACCTGGCAGAGAGCGCCAAGCGAGGCCGAGGACAAAAGGACCCTGCCGGCCTCCAAGGACCCTCATCGACATAGAACTTTGGCTTGCAAGAACCGCGAAACAGGCAAAGCACCAGCAGAGGCCCTGCAAAGGGCCGCTGCATTCACCGACAGAAAACACCCCAAAACACAAGCAGAGGGTCACGGAAAGGCCCAGGTCAACTTATGCCAAAAGAAGCTGGGAGTGATGAAGTGTCGGAAGGATAGGCCAGTCACAAGCAGGGAGAAACAGTAATTGCACAAATTGCCGAGGATGACATGTTACCCAGGCAGAGGGTGAGGCTTAAAGCTGAGCCGCACTTAGGACAAACACAAACACCCGGGCCCTCCTGCCCGGAACTTGCATCGAAAATGACCTGCTGGCCGAAGAACAACCCAGCCGCACCTGCCACACAGAGCCTGTGGGCACTGCCACACAATGTGCTCCCAAGCGCAAGGATGCCGAATGAGGCAACGTCTCAACAAAGATCCCGCGCAATCCAAGCTGAGAAACCACATGCTGCAACCTGGCAACATCGATACGGCTAGAGCGACGACTGATGACACAGCGACTCAGTTGATGATGCTGAATCCAACGACGCTGTGTCGATCGAAAAACATGCTTGTCATGTCAAGACCATGCGAAGGAGGACCAGTCACAGCTACCCACTTAAGGGTTCTCTTCAACGGATCAGCACAAGAGTGCCAACCACAACTGGGCAAAGCCCAATGGTAAAGACATCCCCGTGTAGAATAGCCCTAATAGTCTGGGAGTCCATTTTATAGAGGTAGTGGTCTATGGAATGGCCTACAACGGTGCACGGGGCACCCGAACAGAGTCTATAAAATGACCGTCCAGGAATATGGAAAACAAGCCTGCGGGCGGGCATCCAGGCCGGAGCATACTCACTATGGAATGACTTGCCTGGGATACCTGTTGTGTGCTTGAGTTCCCCGGCGACATCATGCTCATCGATGCGATCTGGATGCCGGCAAAACAAGAGCAAACTATAGAATGGCCTGCGGGGTTGCCCTCCGGGTAGCAAAAAAAATGCAAGAATCATGTTGCCAAAACGCAGTCGCTATAAATGACTGGCCGGGGTTACTGTCCGATTTCTTCGATCTATGATCTCGAACCTCATGCATTGGGCATCACTCGATCGGCAAGTTTCGTCTCTGCTGTCGGGTTCAGCGTTCGGAGTGTATGGTGTTGGAAATTTGAGCAGGTCTGCAGTCTCCAGGGATTTCCATCGTAAACGATCGCGCGCACGGTACCACCACACCTCGAGGCCCAAACCATCGCACACACCTAGACCCCCGAACCGTTCGACTCACCCGGAAGCCGGAACCTTGAGGCCACCGGGGTTTCCGATCGGGGTCTGGAGAGTTTCCACGAAGGCACCGAACCCAAGGCAGGCTCCTGCCAGGCGGTCCCCCCCGGCACTTTTTGTCCCCATCCGAGTCCGAGGAACGGTTGCGGGGCGCTTGACATTATGAAATGACTGCCGTGAGTACCCTGGGAATTTTGGGAAAATTCCAGTGATATACCCTAAAAGAAACTGTGGGGCTATAAAATGACTCCCGGGATTCACCCGGAACATTCAAGATGACAATGTATGGTGCTACAATGCATGCCCCTCTTACAAGCCTGTCGACCGGTCCCTCTATAAAATGACCCTCTATGAAATGGCCAAACCCATGTCATAGAGAACACAAGTTGGCCATTTCATAAGGCTATTCTCGACGGGGATGTTAAGACATGAGGAACTCGGCTATGCCATAAGTCGCCAACCATCGGCCATTGGCGGGCGGCGGGCAGGGTGTGATGAAATCAAGATCGTCTCAGCATATAGAGTTATAGAGCTTCAGGAGCGCACCGAGCTCACGCAGTTCTGAATGAGTGTAGCTTCGCAGCACGCCATGAACCCCGAAGCGCACGCTCCAAGGTCCAAAGAAAACCCGAGCTTTGTTTCCAGTTTCAGTCTGTCCGCTTGCAGAAATACCCTGGGGTTCAGGGTTTAGGGTTTCAAGAGTCCGGAGAAACAGGATGAACATCTTTCAGCATCTTCCTGAGGGTAGCCTTATGAACAGTCTCGAGCTGAGTCAAGGACGTTCAGAACTGCGAAGAGCGTAAACACCTTGGTTGCATGCATTATAGTATATGTGCATATACACATATGTGTATGTGTATATATATATACACATACTATATACACACACATATATATATATATGTATATGTATGTACATGAGCATTGTTTTGTAGATACCTCAGCAATCAAATCCCTGCAGACGAGCTCCCCGAGCAGGTGACAAGTAGTGGGCTAGAGAGCACACGACAGAGATGCCAATGCTGCGAGGCAGCAATGTACAAAGAGTAGACATATCCTGGGCCGTCAGGGAGAAGCAGCACCGCTCAACAACTCCACCCACGAGACCAATCACGGGAGCACACCAAGGAGTCGTGTGGCTGGGGTTTAGCTTAGTTAGGGTCTTTGGGCATACTGCTATAGACCCCTGAGGCTTTCACATTTAGCTTTGTCCATGGAGTCTATGCTTTTCCTGTAGGCCAAGTCTCCCCAGAACCAGCTCGCTTGAACCAGCGGTCTTACGACAATGTCCCAGCTGATTCCATTTGCGATGGACCGGAACAATGTGTGCATGGCCTGAGCTGACAAGACTATATCCCTCACTCACTCACTCACTCACCCACCCACCCACGCACGCAATCACTCATGCACACTCTCCATGTACCCGCCCATCTGTTTATCTACCTACCTGTCTATACTTCTATCGTTCTTTGTTCACATCTGTCCACATCCATTTTCCATCCATCCATCCATCCATCCATCCATCCATCCATCCATCCATCCATCCATCCTGAACGCTCTAGCTACGAGTCAGCATTTCTGTACAACGGCACACAGTACAGAAGTAACCACCGTTTATATGTGCATGCATGCATGCATGCACACGTGCATGCATGCACGCATGCGTGTATGTATTTATGTATGTATGCATGCATGCATGCATGCATGCATGCATGCATGTATGCATGCATGCATGTATGTGTGTGTGTGTGTGTATGTGTGTATGTGCATATGTGCGTATGCATGTATGTGTCCATGTATGTATGCATGCATGCATGCATGTATGCACAGAGTAGGTAATTATGCAGCAATATATGTTTGTTGGCATATATGTATGCATACAGGAGAGAATACATGCATCTATCTATCTGCCTACCTATCTATGTAACTCCGTATGTCTGCCTGCCTGCTTGCCTGCATGTCTGTGTCTGTATGTATGGAAGTACAGATGTAATTTAGTTGCACGTGTAAATGTATGTCTATAAACATGCCCATGTCTACACACATGTACGTACATATGTATGCATGTAATGTATGTATGCGGAGGTGTATGTATGCATATATGTCGATGTAGATGTAGATACCTAATATATCAGTATGTAAATGTAAGAAGTGTATATGTACCTGTACAGGCACATGTACATTACGATAGATAGGTGAATGGATAGATGGATAGACCGGTAGATAGATAGATGCACACATGCCTACACCTCGCTCTCTCTCTCTCTCTGTGTTTGTATGTTGTGTATATATATATATATGGAGAAAGTTGTGCAGTGTGGATAGGTAGCTCTGTGTATGTACGCGTGCACACACACAAATATACATATTTATATGTAAAAATATACATGCATACATACATACATTCATACATACGTACATACATACATACATACATACATACATACATACATACATACACACATACATACATACATACAAACACAAACACAAACATGCACGCATACCTGCAAACGCACACATAAAGCAAATGCTTCATCCCAGTTGGGTTAGCTGAGGTTGCGACGCCATGGACCGTTCCGAAGTACATCCTCAGATCCTTCTCCAGCATCGGTTCGATGCCTTCAAGCCAAGCAATGTCCAAGATTCTTTCCTTCTGATTCCTCAACGGCGAAACCCTGAACCGGCCGAGTTCCCAGTGTTTGATCCAACGAGCTCGAGCCGCATCCGTTTTAATCCCGCCTTCCCCGCTGTTCAAAAATTCTGTGACGCCATCCGTCAAGAGAACTCCAAACATGTAGATGATGATCACCAGGAGGACAACGGACCTCGAGCCAACTCAGCAGCGAAGTAACGTTCAAAGCTTACGGTTGGCCTGAGAGATCTTACTCGGTCTCCCGTGAGCTCTTCGAACCCAAAGGTTCGGCCCCAGCACAACCCCTAAACCCTTAAAAAGGGAACCCTAGGGTTACCCTATAAGAACAGTGACTTCCAACAGCATCTCTAGAAATGCTTGAAAAGTCGGACACAGCAGGCTGGTGGTCCACTGGGCCGTGTCTGACAGCAATCATGATGTCAAACCAATCTGACACCATACTGTTGATGGACAAAATTCTGCCTGACCAAAATATAGTATAGTACCATAAATCCCATAGTTTAGGTATATAAGGTCATGCAGGATTTTGTCCATCAACAGTATGAAGCCCTCATTCCATGCTGCAGCACATGCTACGTGAACTAGCTTAGCGCTGGCTCCATTTCGGCATGCCACTTGGGCAAAGCAACATGTCAGCCTGCTAGCACAAGCTCTGAGGTAAGCAAACATTTCGCAGCCAAAACCAGCACCGGCTGTACCCAGACGGTGCCGAAGTTCTGGACTTTGAGGGTGATGTGAGCCAAGTTGCCAAGCTAAGGAGCGGAAGGTCATGGCAATAGAACTGACCTCAGAGGCTCTCAGATGGGAGACTTCAACTTGTCCAGACTCAGCTGCGATCTTCCAGCAGGGTCCAGCATTAACTAGAAGCTTTCTCGAACTTGACCCCCGGGAAGCACGACCTGTTTCGAATCTGCACTGGTGGCCGAGCAGCAAGGTTTCTCAAAGAGCGCACGAATCGTAAGACGCGTACCTGGAGCAACGTACAGGCCATCACGCTGGTGTAGAGAAGAAATCAGCAAATCGATGCGTGTTCACACTGGCTTGTGGGCAGCATGCACGAGGTATAGCATGCAAGCGAGAACACAGAATATCAGCAATTCGAAGCCAGAGAGACTAAACACGTCAAATTCCAACGATGCTGCAAATGGCTTGGCTGGCCCGTGTGTCTACCTAAACAGAGCAATGGGTGCACACTGAGATGTCACCAATAAACACTGCTTTATGTTCCTGTGGAGCTGTGCGGCTACGACTACAGAGCTCTATGCTTAGGTCAATCTGCTGCTCTCTGTTTGTATAACAAAGCTCAGAGTCGGCAGACTGCCACACTGCTGCATTTAACTAGAAGCTTCAGCCTCGCGAATGTTACCTGCATTTTATCAAATCCTGACAACTTCGCTCATAGGTCGTTTGTCGGAAGATGGCTATCGCTGCTGTTCCAGCCTTGCTCTCATTGTTCCTCAGTAGTAGTTGTAGTCGTCGCCGTCGGAGCAGCAGCAGCAGCAATAGTGATCGTGGTGGCAGTCGCCATGTGTCGTCGCAGTACAAAGCAGACGTGGTAAGGGCGGTACTAGTTTTAGCTGAGTATGGCCACATGCAACATGCCCAAATGCCACTGCGCACGACTAGGATTCGTCTTCCTGCATCCGACATATACTTTTAACATATTGCATTGCACTTTTATTCTAACTGTTCCTGAATGTGTCGTGCAGATTTGGGTGTGTATCTGTCTCAGCTGGATCAGAATTCCGGGCTGTCGAACAGCAGATGCATATAGTCTCTAAACAGTCGTATCATGATCGTTTTGAAACAGTCCAAGGGGCGATGCGGAGGACGCGCAAGAGCCGGGAGATGCGCACAATGCGGATGACCTTGACGAAACATGTGGCGAAACGCACAAACACCAGCAACATGAATATCAGCTTTCACACATATTGCAGTCCATGCGATGAACCGGATGAAGCTCCGGATGGCTCCTATGTGAGTTGCAGTTCGAGGTAGTTCACAGTCTATGTACTTACAAAGGCCAACAGGACCTCCTCCTGAGAAGCACCGACGCCGGCAAAACTCCAAACCCTGAATTGCATCCACCCGTAGGGCCAAGGACTCGCATGTTGCCGATCGAGCTTAGGTCAGCAGCAGCCTGCGATCCACCTTTTGGCCACGAATTGGGGTTGGGGCTCTCGGCATGTAGTGCTCCAGGGTGCAGTGGTTGTTCCGGCAAACCACAAAATCTCGGCAACTCCTACTGGGATAATGAATAAGTGACATGACGAAGGGAAGAGGCTTCAGGTTCCATCGCTTCAGACACATGGAATCTTGCTCGAAGCCTGCCCCGCGCCTGAAACAGCCACGGAGATCTCCCCTACAATTTCCACAATGGAGGTCACCACCTTGGAAGGCTAACGGATCGTGCGAGGTTCAAGCAGCCACATGACCTTTTATTAAATGCATAAATAAGCTTGGTCTCCATGTGTGTATGTATCCAAACATCTGCTGGACCCCATATCCTAAAGACCTTTGCGCGATGTGTAGGCAAGCCGTATACGTGTTCTTATGTGAATGGGTGGCAAGAGAGCCCGAGTACATTGAAGCACCATTTTCAGAAGCTTATAGCCACATGGTCACCCCATCTTCCTGCTAAGAAGCTAGCGAACCGGATATCTGTTGCAACTTTCATGGCACCAAAAGCCTTTGATAGACAAAAAAGAACAGCACTGCAGAACACTATTCTGACCAGCCAAAGGCACAAAATGGATTGCACAAACATCTGCAATTGTTCATAGACCATAGGTTGCAAATAAACTTTACCAGATCCAACTAATCATGCAATGGTACTAAAATCATGGAATGAACAATGGCATGCTACACTACTACGACTACTACTTACTACTTACTACTTA